ACTATCTTGTCTCCTTCAAAGTAATCCTCCTCAGATATAATACACCAATGCCTGCGTTTTTTCGAATTCTCGAAAAGCTTTTGAAACGCGTTTTTGGGCATCGCCAATAGCTACTGTTTCGATTTATCTTTTATCTCCCCAATCGTAGCAAAACGCTTTCCTTTCATCGTTGGCTTCAATTTTCTAAAGAGGTAAAAGTCAGCGGGGGACAATGTCCGGTGAATACGGTGGTTGAGGCATGCTAGCGGCTTTGTTTTCGGCCAAAAACTCACGTCCAAGCATCGATATGTTAGTTGGTGTCTTATGATGGTGCAAATTCTATTATTGTTTTTTTTCTACAACTCTGCGCTTTTCTGTCGAATTGCTTCGCACAAACAGCGCATAACTACCAGGTAGTATTCCTTATTGATTGCAGGGCCTTGTGGCTAGAAGTCATTATGCACCACGCCATTCCAGTCGAAGAAAACAGGGAGCAAATCCTTCACATCTGTACAAACGATTTGATGGTCCTGAGCATTGATATTGACATGTTCTCGGCCTTCCTTAAATCGGTTACTCCGCAGAATTATTTAACGAAGAAATTTTTTAAAGAATTGTGGCATTGGAGATGAGATAATGTGTATTGTATGGAATACAAGTAGGTTATGATAGCAGATCCTGCGAAAAGCAAATACTCGTATCTGCAATTATCGGCCTACTTTTGCATATTCTTTGCTTGAGCTAGCACTCAGAAATACTTGGAGTATTTTACAGTAAAATAATTTTGCTGAAGTTGTAGAGAAGAAAAAGTGCTTGAAAACTTATTGTGCTTTTTCTGCAATCGCACTAAAGAAGGGTATGTAAAGATCTGTAAATATAAGACTTTACTAAAGCAGTTTTTTTTAAATTTTCGAAGTTCCCACATTGCCTTGAATAGCAGCTGGAGCGCTCTAAGGATGCTCGGTGGTGAAACTATGGGTTCTAAGAGCACTGGAATCAAATTCAAATTGAAAGAAAATGCAGTAGAATAGGAAAGAAAATGTGAATTAATTTTTTTATGCATTATTAGACCATTTACTTATATCAGTAGCCACATTTTGATAAATAGTTTTCCTGAAAACGATCAAAACCTTACAAAACGACTTACCAGGTTTCCCAATTTTATTTCATTAACGTAAAATTATGATTGGCATCTGATTGCCCAGTTATATATGTGAGTTTCATATAATAGAAAGGATATTCATAGAAGAAAGACGAGATACAGAAGATATCTTATCTTACTATTCATCAAGTAAGTAACCAACACGCGACTAAGCACATTCACACATACACGTAGACGCCAAAGCTCAAGTAAGTTCTTCAATTGCTGTATGTATGTAACGAGTAAAGCGAAGAATTTTCCAGTTACTAAAATGAAACTAATGATCAATTAGCAAACCTTTAAGCATATAAAACTAATATTATCCACGCGGTGGTAAAAAATGAAGTCCAAGCTACAAATATAAATATAACAATAATTAAGTTGAGAAATTTAGTGAGAAGATGATGTTGAGATATACTCATGAGCATAATTATCCGCAAGTGACTGGCCGACCTACGTGCTCTTGCCGAGACTGAAACAATTAAATGCTAATGTTTTAAACTGAGCATATATCGTATGTATGTATAATTGTTAATTTTCCAAATGCATTAGCGTTGAGTTAAACTAAAGTAATAAAGAAAGAAACCAAACACATTCGCTCAGGCGGTTAATGTTGTGAATAGTAAAAGTTGATTTTGTAGTGAGTACAAGAATATTATATCTTTGTAATGATGGGAAATGATAGTGCTAAGATTTTTGTTTGAGTTTGATGATTTCGAAAGTAAATGAGCGGCTGGCATGCTTGGTTGAAAGCTTGGCAATGCTATAGATAAATAAGACATAATGAGCAGTAGAGCGTTCTTAGATTGTTCATGATAATTAGCAATGAACCAAAAAACTGCTTTGAAAAAAAAAACTTATTTTTCTCAGATATCTATGTTAATAATCATTTAAGCCAAAAATTGGTTAGATCCAATTTTATTATTTTTTCCTCTGTTTTTTTCTGAAATTCTGAAACTCTGCGCCTTCAACTCCATTGAAATTTCCGTTATAATTCAACCTTCAACTTTATACAATATACAAAACCCCGCACATACTCCTATATATATATATATATATATATATATATATACCCGTATATAATTAACACCAACACTAAAATGTTCACATTCTTCAACAGCAATTAAAGTCAATCAATTCTTACAAATAATTTCCTCAAGAAGCCAAATTTGTAAACATGAGAAATCAATCAAATTGGAAGGTTGCGGTCAATCTCTTGCAACTTAGTTGAGAGCGTATTCAACAAATGTTCTTTAAAGATCAAGATTACAATCGATCTTTTTTGTTGTTTTCCATTTTTAAACATACATATGTGCATTTGGCTTAGCGGCCAGTTTATGCATTGTCGGTTCTTTCAAATCTTTCTTACAAGTCTTTATTCTTCTTTCGGCGGTAGAGCCGTTTCTATATAAATACATAATTATGCACTAGCAGAAGTCATGCTATGGTAAAGTTTGGGTGCGTGTGCGTGTGTGTGCCCGTATCCGCTAGTTGACGTGTGATCTAATTCCTAAGCAGCTGAAACATCCAAGCTCTTAGAATAAAGGAAGCGCGGTCTATTTCAAGACGTTTGAATTATTCTCTATAAGTATAATTATGGCAGAAATTGTTTGTAACGGTTTTTTTTAATCAATATTTTTAAAGACAGCTTGATCAAGTTTTATTTTTTAAAAGATCATTGCTCTGTTGGTAATCTTTGTATATTTACTTCGTTTTTATTTGAGGGATTTAGTTGATAAATATCTATAAGTGATGATAAAAATTTTTGAGAGAACAAATATAATATATTTTAGAAACGTTTATGGCATTGCTTACAACGACAAAGAAGATTATGTATTGACTGCCAGGTGGCAATTTAGGCAATATTCTCACATCGAATTGCAGCAGAAAATGGCCTTAGAAGCAGGAAGGCGGTAAATAAGGTAGCTACAAGGAGGTAAACACATATAAACTGGGTTCGAGGCCGCAAAAGTATTGCAGGAACGTCATATATGGTGATCTGATCCACCAATAATACGAGAGCAGCATGGCCATATGCAATGGGAGATTTGGATATTTCACCCATATATGGTTTATACAGCCTTGAGAGGATTGCAGGACAGCCACGTATTTAGAATATGCATCAGTGAGACGATGGAACACCTCTTCTGCTTCTGTCTGTCCATTTCTAGAACTCGCCTTATACATCCAGATGCTTTGCAGTTCAAATGATTACCGAAAATGACGAAGTTCAAAATCAAAACATTCATAATTTGGAGGAAAAAAAGTTATCATTTTACACACTATGTTAGATTGGACTAGCAGATCTATTTAAGAGGTAACAGCCAGTCAGTACAATATAGCCTTTTTAATTAAAAAATCTAAGAATCAAAAACAAAATCTCTTACATATCAATGTGGTCAAAAAAATAAAAAATATAAAATTTTTTTTTTAAATCAAAAAAATAGCGCTCAGAAAACAAGTTTTGGTGAAAAAACATAAAACGAAATAAAAAATTTAAATTCAATAATAAATATTATTTATATCTGTAACTATATACTATATATAACAGGCTTTGTGCTGAATAACTGACGGATTAACCCATAGTTTAAACCACTGATCATAGTGAAAATAAACTAGCAGGGTGGGTGCACCTGATAATAAAGAACCTGGGGCCGATCCACTCGAAAAAATTGAATTTATTCTTTAATTAACATAAAATGTGGTACAGATGTATTTTCGGGTGTAAAATATTATTGATGCAGTTACGGCATCATATCTTCACCAGAAGTGGAATCAAGTACTGAAGACTCTAAAAAAGACATATTTATTGCAAATATTTTTAAGTATTCAAGCAAGGTGTTTTTTGTGGATGCACCACCGGGACCAAGACTATTCTATTAAAGTCATTGTTTTCCAAAGCGAGAAGCAACATGACATAATTGTTCCTACAGCATTAGCAAGAATTGTTTAGACTGTGTAAGAAAGATAACTCCCCAAAATGGTTACACCAAAAACTAAGCAAGCTTCAGTCATAAATGACTTTCGTCGTTCAACAACCGGTAGCCTTTCTGAATATACTAAAGCCTCTCGGTCTCCTAAATCTCATATTGAAATTAATAGTTGGAGCGCCAATTATGTAACGACACAATATAAATTGACCAAAATTACGCGTTGTCACCCTGTTGCAGGTGAAAGTATTGTGTCGAAGTGTTATCAAGACTACTATACTCACAGGTTGTTTTCAAGTACAACCTGTATTTATTCCTAGGATTACATCAAAGTGTGCTTCGTAATAACCACAGACGTTTACTTGAGAGAAAGCTACTTTTCCCAAGGTCATTTAAATGTGACATGCTGCAGTGTAAGCTCAAAAAGTAGCCTGGTGATTATTGCTGGCCACGTATCTATAAACAAAGAAATATTGTCTACAGTGAAATACCGTAATAGGTGCAGCACTTCGTTCTAACAAAAACATAATATATCATAATTCTATTTTATTTTTCTTATATAAAATTTCATATAATATTTTGTGTATTAGTAAAACTTAAAAATCTAAAAATAAAACTAAAAACTTTATTTAATGCATTTTTAAGCTGATAAAGTAAGGGGTAAAATTTATAAATTGATAAAATAGTTATTAATATTTTTCTGAGCAATTTTTTAAAATTCGGAAACTTTAAAATTTACATAAAAGACCTAATAAAGACTGATTGAAGGAATAACTTAAGCGATGCCAGAGGGACACTATGAAACAGAATGCCAAGTAATTTCTTTCAGTGCATTCATTCTTTTTACTGCGCCCAACCCCAATTCAAATTGTATATGAGAGCGTGAGTAGCATAAAATCAAAAATTCATATAGAAATTATTATTCTAAACTATTTATGCGGTTAACTTACCAACAACATCCAATTTATGCGCTACATTACTGCCCTCATCAGCCGCTGCAACAGCTGACGTCACCGCCGCCAACGCCGCTGCCTCCGTAGTAGTCAAAAGCGATTGTGCATCATCATCATGTAATGCCGTTGATGGTGTTGTTATAGGAACAGCAGGAGTAGATGAAGTAGAAGTCGTTGAACTATCACTCAACACAGCGCCAGTAGACGCCTCCACTGCATCTACTGTAGCCGTCTTTATGGCATTTTCGACTGTGGATGAAGACGCGTTCAGCGCAGACGCGCCATTTGCTATTATTATTGCTGGCAGTGTTGTAGTGGCTTCGTCATCTGGTATTGTTGTTACAATTGCAGCATCACTATTCGCTGGAGTTGGTGTTGTTGTTGTTGCGGCTATATGCACATTTGCATCATTCAGACTCTGCAAGTCTTGAGCTTTAGCCATTTGTGCAGTGAACAAAAGTAATACACAAACTGAGCCGATGAGTAGTAAAGGCGAATGCCTTGTTGTTGCTCTTGCTGCTGTTGTTGTTGGCATAGTTGCGCATTTTCTTCGTTTGGCGTGCAGTGTATGCATTGCGGATTTTCGTGGAATTTTTCTGTTGCTGTTGTTGTTGTTTTCCACTCTGCTCTTTTATTTTAGTGCACAGGTATGTGTGTGTGTGTATATATATATGCACGTTTCTATGCAATTTCAGTTAAAATTTTTTTTATTTCTTTTTCCTTGCTCAAACACTTTGTGTGCACTAATTTAATTCGTATATATGAATATTTTTCTTGTTGTTGTTTTTTTTTTCTTATTATACTTGCTGTTAATTTTTCCAATTGCACTTCCCTGTTTCGTCAGCGGTGATTTTTAATGATTTTTTTCCATTATTATATTACTTCAACGCTGAGCCAGCTTCACGTACGTGTGTTTGTTTTTTTTCTTACAATTTTTTCGGCACTTATTCAATCGCAATTGACGACTTCGGTGATTTGCTGGGAACGTTGATTTTATCACTTCCCGACGTGCACTTTTGCTATTTAAAGATGAGTGGCTTTGTTGTTATTTTATACTTTAATTTTTTAGCGCACCCAATTAAGGTCACTTCAATATTTTTGTGGCTATTAATTCGACACAATTTTTTTTGTTGGGTGGAAAATCAAGTTTCGAATTTCACAATCACATTTTTGTCAATAAATAAACTGTAAAAAAATATAATCAATATTATATAAATTTAATTTTTTTATACAATCTGGTTTAATTTTGTGCAATTTTTAGCGTTCACGGAACTTTGCTTTAATGTGTAGAAATTTTATTTCATTTTTATGTGATTTAGCGCAACGAGTTGCTCGCTTAAGTCTTTTGTTTTTTTTTCACTTACGTTTAATGGAATGAGCTAATGTCTTTTAACAATCCTAAAACTTAATGTCTTAAGTCACAACCAAGAACCAATTAATAAATAGGTTTATAATTCAAAGTTAATTAACTTAATCGAAGCGAAGAGCTACATATTAAGAGAGCCGTTTCAACCTAAGCGCATATATGCCAAAGTTTTAAATGAAAACAGGTAGTTAAGCAAATAAAGAAAAATTTTAACAAATTCGTAATCATAAAATCATTAGATGCTGCTCCTCACTTTAGAAGAAAATCAAGCATTCAATTTTATATGTTAATCGCAAACAAGTGGTCACATATGGAAGAGGCATAAAAGGCAATCCACATTTTTTGTATTTTTTTTTTTTAAAGTTGTAGCGTAAAAAAATTCACAATTTTAAAAAAAACCATCATCTGTTTGAGAATAAAAGTTTCAGCAAAACTCAACTCTAACTTTAAATTTCACATTAATTTTTTCTTTTGCTTTTTAGTTTATCATTACAATTTGGTTTTTTGCTTTACGAAATAACCGCAGCCAGAAAATCCACCAACCAGTAGCCTTTACTAAGGATACAGCGATTGCTGTGCTCTGAAAAATAGAAACGCTCAGCACTACCAAAACTGCGGCACTCAAAACATTACTCGATCCACTCGAAATTTCGCTGAAGCATTGGCGACTTCAACTCAGTTCACTACCAAAGCTTTCTGGCACAGCTCAATAAACAAAGAAAGAGCACACAGAATAGCCTAAGTACTCTCGTGCTCTAGCTGGGGTAGATGGCTTAGAAACACGCAGTCTGCCAACTATAGCGCTTATCAGATGCTCATACAAACCTTCAAACTACAAGATCACTGCAATATTTTCCAGAGCGGATACCATTGCCTTTATGAAAGCTGCTGAGCAGTAGTTGCACATTGCATTGCATCAGAAAATGTTCTTCGGCGCAAGAAAACAGTAGATTTGGCATCTGCAGTGGAACAAGATTACCTGGGATTGTTAAAGGTGGTTTGCGCCTATATATATATATATATATACGAGACCAAACAGCAGAAGATGAATTCGACTGAGTTGGAATGGTTGAATGGCTACAAAGACCGTGAAGGTAATTTACATGTGAAGCGAAGAATCATCAAGATTATCTAAAAGTTACTTGAGTCATATGTGTATGAAACTGGCATTACTAATAGTGTTTCATGCAGCGAATTGAGGGAGGCAGATTTGAGTACTACACAAATATTTATGTACGGCGCAGTTCAGAAAAATCAAAGATCTTAAAGCAAGTAGTTAGGAGCGTTCAAATTTTCTCCTTTATGAGAAACTCCTACTCCTACTTCAACTCGAATTGAATTGATATGGAGACCCACTTATACTTCAAAGGACCAACAGATCCTTTAAAGGCAAAATAAGATTTAGATGTAGTTTTAAATACAAACCTATACAGTAGTATAGCGATACTTCTAAGTGTGCGTATTAATGCAAATGCCGAGGAAGGAAGATTATATACAACAAGCCAAGCGGCTTCACACATCATGAAGTCGATAGAGATCCCACAATGTAAATACTATTTACTGGATATCAGGCTAAAGGCAATTAGTTTAGATAGCTGACGAGCTGACTAAGAAGAGCGTCCGTCAGGATGATCGAAGGACAAGAAGTAATCTTACGTCCCCCGGCATATGAACTCTGGGAACGAGCCAAGCGCTGCAGACACGCGAAGAATATGCGAAAAGCTTTTGATGCTTAACTTACAAAGTGTTACTAGTGATAAAGAGAACGGATTCCGAACTGCAGGCAAATCAGTGCTTGGTCGTATGTAGTGTATCTGGCTACACTATAGACGTAGTATTGCCTAGGTGAGATCCGGCTGGTCAGCCAATTCAACCCGTTCAACCTAACCTAGCTCATAGGTTTTGGTAGATATTAGCAATAGAAAGTTCAGCTCGAAATTGTTCTAAATATAAAGAGTATAATTTACTGTGAATGAAATCATATTGCAAAACATTCGTTGGATGTGGATAGAGATAACCCCTGAATACTCTCTTTCCACCGTTGAAATGTCGAAAATAATGCCAAAAAAAAAGTTATATTTTTCTGTTGGTTCTAACCATTCATGCCTAGATTTTCAACTCAGAAGCGATAATAGCGGTAAGGGTGGAACAATTGTTTTATATAATTAGCCATAAAAATAGAAAATAATGAAAATAAATAATAAAAATGATAAGCCTTGAAAAGAGTTATTTTTAAAATATAATTGTTAATATTATCATCACTTGTAATAAAAAACTGAGCTGTCAACTTTTCACGTTGTTTTCATTGTTTTTGCGGAGATTGTCCTTTAGCACCCTTACGCTCGTATCGTATATGAAAATCGCTAGCTTTGAGCTAGATAAACACAAATTATTTGTTTGGTAATTAAAATAGAAAATTTTTCACTCGAAGCAATTCACTATGATGTCATTTAACGACAATTTTTTAATAAAGCAATTTTAAATATTTTATACATTTTTCCCCTAACGATTTTCTTTTTTGACTCTTTCAGCTTTATAACTATTCTATTTCAACAATTTCTGATCTTTCTACTAGCATTTTACCACTTGGATGCTTTAACTTCAAATAAGCTCCAGAGTTTTTTCCATAAAATTTTTTTGTTTTTGTTTTGGCATATACAATACTATGTACATACATGTCTTCTATTGTTTTGTTGTTATTGCTAGTTTTCAAATAACCGCCATGTAAATGAGTTGGCAGTGGTAACCTGTCTAGAGTGCCTCATGCGGAGCAAGTAAAGCAACGCGTGTGGTGCAGAGCAAGCAGACCTGCAGACAGGCGCATGCAAGAACTTGTTTGGCCACAACTCGTTTAAGGCTATGAAAGTTCGTCAGTTATGGGTTGGTATGGGTTGTGGTTGATTAGTTTGCTAGCCATTTTCGGTTTTGGTTTTACTTGATTTTGTTTTTTTTTTCTTTTGTTTTTAAATATTTCTATTGGTGTTGTTGGCACATGTTGGAATTATGGTACTTTGTGTGTATGTATTGTGTTTCAAATTCAAATTAGAATTCGTTTTGCCCAGCAGTATAGAACATGAGGGCATAAAAGGTTGATTTTTACAAAATCTGATTTATTATTAATTATTATTATTTGTTTTGTACGAGTAATTATTATATTATTTTTGTTGTTTTTGATTAAACTGCTACTTTGAAAAGCCTTGTATACTACACATTTTTTTAAAAAAATTATAGTTTTACTTTTATTATTATTATTTTATTTTGTGCAAAACAATGTGCAATGTATTCTTTCTTAATTATATAATATGCAAACTTAAGAAACCGTTATTTTTGATTCAAATATACACAAAGTTTTTTACCACAATTTAAGATTTTTTATATTTATATATGTTTTTTTTTATATTACTATGTTTTTTTATATTATTATTATTATCTCAGTAGGCACTAAAACACGTTCTCAAAAGTCAGTCCACGTTTTTGTACACTGAAATTATTTGAAAATACATAAAAATATTTCATTGAAATTTTTCCTGTTTATACTGTAAATTTAACTAAATCCAGCATCAATTTTAATTTTTACAAATTTTTTGTCACACAATCCCAATACACTCATAGCAATACCGGCATTCAATTCAATACAATCCATATATTATATATGTGTATATATACACAGTTCGATTAATTACCCGTCTCACTATCCGTTACGCTGGTCGTATTCACCCGTCCCAGCCAAAACACGAACTCAAACTGATATAACTGCTGCACAGGCCAAGACGTGTTAGGCTCCAACATTGGTAAAACCAGTTAGTCAGCTCCGCCAATACATACATACACACTTGACTAAAAACAACAAATAGTTAAAGCGAGCAGCTTAGAGAGTTGGCCGAGCAGCCTTCAACAGATGAGTTGAGATTCATAAAGTTATATATAATCTATGTATGTGTGTACATGCATGTTGCATATAGCTTTATATTCACTGAAACAGTCTATACTCTATGTTGTTTTTGTTATCTGTCTTTCATTACTCTTGCGTCTACTGGTCAAATAGCATTTAGTTCATTGAATATTGTTGAATTGTTAGTGTGGTGAATTTCACGCGCTCAGCTCTTGTAGCTGTAAATGATCATTAACTTAGCGATGATCACTTTAGCAGCTTGCTCTCGGCCGTAAAAAATAACTTACGTACATTTAACCAAACATGCATACATACATGTGCACGTACATATATGCATACAAACATTCATATGGGTATAATATATTTTTGGGCTTTAATGTTTAGTCTACCTTTCGTCACGTACAATGCTCACTCAATTGTCATGTACCTGTTTCACATTTCACACACACGCACACACACACGTATAAATAAATTTGCATTCATTTCGATTGTCACTGAGCTGCAGTGAAATTTTTTAATTTTTATTTGCCTCTCCGTGCAATAAAGAGTGGTAAAAAAGAAGTAGAAGAAGTTCAATGAAAAAATTAAAATGAATAACTAAAAGCTAGATGAGCGGCTTACTAAGCTGACGCTCAATGCTCTCTAGCTCTCTACCATCACGCGTTAACTATTTCACCAATGTGGTGAGATCGCTTGAAACTGTTGGGGAAATCCACTTCAAAACTATTCAATGGTGTTTACTCACCAAAAGCAGCTGAGCAAATATTTCGCTGAAACTAAAATCATATGCACACACACACATATACATATATATTACATATAAAAATGAGCGAAGTGCACACTCATAAACATAAATGTATTCAATAGTTTAGCACACCTTTGCAGCGCACTGTATTCTCTTTCAAGTCACAAGCTTGCAAACAATTAAAACACACTGTACATACATATGTATATTGGTATAAATGTAATATATGTGTGTGCGTACTAAAAAGAAAATCATTGCCCGTGTTTAGGTTGGGAGAGCGGATAGTTGGTGTAATAAAAACAACACCAACTAACTAAAAATAATAAAAATAAGTAAAAATAATTGCTTTTGCTGCCAAATGAAGCGTTTAACTTTACGTTATTGCTGACGCTGCAACTCATCGTACAACTGCGTGCATAGCGATGCACTCTATATATACATACATATGTACGTGCGTAATAACATACATATAACTATTGTATTTTACTTTCAATGACAATCAGTTTTCGCGTGAAAATATTGCGAAATTCGCGTTATTTACCTTAAAGTTTCACTTAATGAATTAATGAATGAATGAGTGTACGTACACACATATGTACGTGTATGTATGTATGAATGAAGCAAACATGCGCCGGGTTTCGCGCTTAAATCTTTCGTTTCGTTGTTGTAGCAAGTTGAAGCCTTTGTATTTGCTTTGCTTCATTTTCTTTAATTTATTTCATTGCAAATGCACCGTTCGAGGTAGAAATAATTAATTTGGGCTTATTATTGATGTAAAATGTAATAGCAAGTAATTAGTTAACAAGCTAATAAAGGAATGTGTGAAATGTACACTGCATACACACATACATGTGCATTTAATGATTTCTGCATATTCGCTTAAGTAAGCGCGGAAAATAATGTAACAGATAAGAGTTTTACATAACTTTTATAGATTTATGGCTTTCGTGTTTCGTGATGTTAATATTGAAAATCACGCACAGAAATTGCGATTATTGCATTGATTTCGTTTAATTTTACAAAGAACTTCTTGTTTTATTTCAATGTATGTTTAGTTGATTCGTTGAGAGGGGAGGCTCAGAGTATGACCACAAGCGTTTGACACTTAGTCATAGAGTCGGCGCATTGGGCTCCTCCGCATAAGCTAACTAAAGGCGTGCGAACATTTAAATTCTTGCAACCTCCGTAACTTTGGACTTGTGGGCACCACGAAAGATGTGATGTCTCAATCGGCTGAAGGCCAGACACTTGCAAAAATAGTGCTTCATCGTTTCACGGGATGATATCTCAGGTGCAGAAGGTCCATAAGAATACTAAGCTTTCGTTTGCTTAAAGTTTGTATCAAATTGGTCTGTTCACACTGTCCCACATTGATTTAGTAGTACGTTCTACGGTGAAAGTGTTCCAGGACCTTTCTGCATATCTCATTGTTTTTAAAAACATTTGTGGGCGCTGGAAATTTATGTTTCCCCGTGATAGTCTGCTAATTGCATCTTTGCATTTGTACTTTGTGTCCACAAATAATCGTCTTAGTTACAGCTTGACTATCTAGCAAAAATCTGGTTGCCCATTTGGCCCACAATCTTTACTTGAAGAACAAAATTGAGAACATTGAGTATCTTCCTTTGGAAGTCATTCAAGTGGCATACAAAAAATTCACCTTTCATAATACGTAGAATTTTTCAGAACTGGAGAATTTTCGGCAAATGTCCCGCAATGAGTAAGGTCATTTCAAATATTAGGTTAAGTAACAAGTCACCAATTATTTTTGCATTAAATCGAAGGCTTTATTTTCCGCTTTACTCCATAACTTTTTGTCATTTTGTAGGTAGCATCAATATGCCTTTCTCTTAGGAACCCTTGTTTCCATTGGCGAAATCGATTTACACAGGCTTCTCTTGAGGTCAATTCTTCACCAGCCAAATCATTCGCAAAAGATATTAACAGTTAGTTATCACTTGATACGAGGTCCGCACTAAAAAGCGGATGCATAAGAACCTCACAACCAAGCTCTCGGAACTTCTGGCGAGTCACTATCAATGCATCTGATACACAAATGAACCTTCCTGCCCGTCAACCGGGTTTCGGAGACCATTTGTGCCGGCTCGTTGAACTTTGAATACGACTGTTTTCATTTGACGTTTATGCTCCAAAATTGGATCGATTTTGTTACGATCAGCAAAATTTCGTAGCTGGAAATTCGGTTTATGGATTGTTTTTCTCGTTAACTCATGTGGCACTAACACCTTGAGCATTTTTCTGTATCTCTTTCATGTAGCTTCGAACAAATTTTTTTGAAACTTTTTGTTACTGGGTAGTTAAAAAAGTACTCGCGTAAAAATCAGACTCGACAGTTGGACGTACATACGGTGGAGCATCTTCTATATCATAAATATTGAAACCAAATCGACGAAACCGAAATTGTGTGGGTTTGACTATTACAGCAGTAGGACCTTGAAAATTATTCTCATTTTCAGCTGCATCTTTTAAAGAAAACTTTTAGGAAATAGAGTGTATTCTCTTTAATAACTTCCCTCAGGCACCACTGACACTACAAACACATTTAGAACTTAAAAAAATTGAGTGACGGATGCCTATGACTCTGTGTTATTTCTTAGAAACTGCACACATTGCAATAATTATATATATGTATATGAGTACTTGTATTTTTGTATGCATTTCATTACATTCTTATATTTACATATATTCGTTTGTATAATAGACGTTGAAATGTTGAAAAATAATCTTCAAATACGCGCCTTTACCGCCACCACCGGAGTTTAAAGTAAAACTGTATGGAAGACAAAAAACACAGAAATTCAGTAAAATGGCAACAATTCTTGTATATGCCATGCATTGTGGCATGCAACTGAAATGATTGTGATGAGGTTTTTTTTTTACATACCTACATACATACATACAATTTACTTGGGCTGCATGATGACGGCGGAGCATGACTGTAATGTTGGCGGCCACCATTATGCATATATCTTTTTTTAATGCTTTTTGTATATTTTTCCTATGTTACGCTTCAAAGTTTCCAAGTGTGGTGTGGCTTATGCGAAAGGTATTGCGCCCTGACGAGCAGAAAGTATTCTGTGTTCTATTCAACATTGGCAGACAGTCACTCGGCGGAAAACCTATGTATAAACATACATATATCTATACATACGAGTACATTCATATCGACAATTTGAGCGCTAGTCATATGTATTTAGGTAAAATACCTCGTAATAAAGCATAATTTGCATAGAATTTGCAACAAAAAGAAATCTATTGTTGTATTCTCAAGCACTTGATAAACCATTCAGGGTATGATAGTTGAAGTTGATGTGCATAAATTAGGTATTCGATTCATATTTCAATTGAGCTATTAGTTTAATTATAAAAAAAATTAACCTATTTTATGACTGGCTTCAGTTGAGTTGAGAAAGTTTAGCAATGAAAGTTCATTCCTTTATTCAAATATTACAATTGATTTATGGAGTGATTTTGCAGTTGTCTAATGTGCATGATTAAGAAGGGAACATCGATATCGAATAATCGAGAGACTGTTTGCCAACACGCAAACAACTAACGTAAGCTGAGAGCTTCTCGCCAATTAGATATCACAGACGTTCTGACTAATTATTATGTTACACGAATTTACGTTGACTAGGG